CCAGAGAGGACAGGCTCAGTGACCACAGCCTGGCCATAGAAACTGGACACAGACAGACCTGACTGACCAGAGAGGACAGGTTGTGCTCCACTGCCAGCAGGGAGAAGCAGAGACAGAAGAGACACTTTCTGCTGCACTGGTAGAAATACTCTGGGATTAGACAAACATTCTTGCCCCAAAATAACAATTCTAATCCCAGAAGTCCCACAGCTGCCAGAATCAGAACAGCTTCAGTCCTACTGGGGAGAAACCTCAACAGAGCTGCAGCCCAGAGTGTGATTTCCTGTCGCAGCGTAGCGAGCCTCCTAAATATTGTGTTTGTTGTAAACGTATTGTTAATTGTTATTGCTGAGACAACATTGTGGTTCATCGATCGTTCTAAAACCCTCGTTATGTTGCAGAATTTCAGTGGGGTCACTCACTGGAAAAGCAACGCGTGACCTCTCACCCACTTCATACACAGCCCACCAGATCCGCGCCACTGACTTAAGAAACTTTTTTTCCATAAGGATTTTAACACGGCTTCCAAAATGAGCTCAGTGAAGCGCGGACGGGGGTGATAGATGCTGACACTGCTGTTCGGGAGTGCAGTTTAATTGTTAAACACTGTTACCGCTGGCGCAAAGTTTGGTTGCTTGTTGAAGCCACGGGACAAGAATTTAAAACCAGTTTGATGGGTTGCTAGCAGACGCGACTAAATCGGCTAGCGGAAGGGAGAACATTGCCACTGGTGATTAACGCTTTGTTTCGATAAGTCTGTCAACGCAACCTTCCAACCTGTTAACAAGAAACTCACGTTTTCCCAGCGCACAGCGAAGAGCGATACCAGCCATAGCAGTCCTGACAGTGTGGAGACCTGGCCGACCTTTGACCCATTTACCGCGGACGAAGGGACCATCTCCAAAGTGCTTAACATTCAAGGAAGCGTACGTACGACCGGGGAAGAGAGAACATTTACGATGTAAAATCTAAATGGTGCCCAGGACTACCTCTCATCATACGCCCGAACACGAGAATGATGCTACCACTCATATCTAATTGCGACGTAAATTTTCCAGCGTCGTCATGAATGACCTTGTCGGTTCCGCTTACCGTTTTTATTGACTACCCCTTTATGTTGCGACACAGCCATTGCTCTAAGAGAGTACGGAAGCCGAGCTGGTTCGAAACGCCCCGACTCGCTCCTTTTCGAAACAAGCGAATGTCGCTGAAGATTTAGTTTTCAGAAGTCTCTGGGCTCGGCAAGTTCCTTGCAGTTTTCACGTCGAACTGAAGTTTCGACTACTTATTGGTTAAAATATAAAGTATGACGTGACAGTAACTCTCACCCCAAATATTGCACAGAAAGCTGAAAACAGCCAGCTTGCAATTATGTACAACACGTGGTTCTTCCTAGTCCTACACCTCAACCATCGCCTAACAGCATCCATTCACAGGTAGCTCCACCTGCACTAAAAGGGCACCTGTCACTCAGATAGAAGCAGAGTGCCTCCTGCCTCCAGCATCAGGTGGATGCTGCACACTGGTGGTGGTGGAGGGGAGACCCCATTACCTGTAAAGCGTTTTTGAGTGGAGTGTCCAGAAAAGCGCTATATAAGTGTAAGCAATTATTACCTGTGAAACACCTTTGTCACGACTTGCTCCATTTCAATTGCTTGTTGAGAAATCAGCTGTAGTAGGAAGGGCTACACCTGATCACCGTAAAGCCTTGATCTGGGCCTCCAGGAACCAGGGTTCAAACACACCCGAACCACCTCTGCAGCTTCATTTTCAAAAACTGACACAGGTACTGACCACCAAGGGCAGCTTCACCAAGAACAAAAAAAAACAAGAGAGCCCCCACAGTTCTGTTTAAATTTTTATTGAGATTGGAAACAAAAAACACAAAATAAAAAAAAGAAATCCACTCTTTTTACACTTGGTAATTTCCATCTCATGGAGCTGTGGTGCTGATCGGACAGACAGCGTAGCATGTGCGAAAAAACTAAAAAAAATACTGGTACAAAATAAGCACATCTCTGTCACCGCTAAAACAGCGTTACTCCCTAGTGCGATTGTAATACTTTCCTCTGCGACAGCGGAGCTCCACGGTTAAAACTCAAAGACAAACGCGACAGACGGACACGAGCAGCCGGGTGGCTCCCGGGACAAGGCGAACAGGAGAAGGTGAGGGTGCGGGCGAGGAGGTGGTCTCCACGGCGACGGTGAGGGGCAGCTAGTTGGCGTGCTGCGCAGTGGAGAAGCACAGCTTGAGGGTGTAGGGGTAGGGACCATCTAGGGGAGAAAGAAACAACATTAGAAAGCTTTTGTGCTAAAGTATCCTCTGCCCCCAGAGGGAGAACGAGACAGACGAGGCCTGAAATGACTAACACCTCCAGGAGCCATCATCAGGCACGGAGCCCTGGGGCCGCGGTCGGCGAGGGGCACAAGCTTGAACACGTGGGAAGCGCTCACTGCTGAGCCGGGCGTGCAAGGATACTTGCCCCCAGCGCCCCTCCGCCACTGTCGCTTGCCGTCCTAAACCTGCAGAGACTCTCACCCGACTGGAGCGAGAGCCACGCAGGCCAAACACGGGCGGCTAGACCGTCTCGCCACAGGATCATCTCCACAAGTGACGTTGTTGCGATTTACAAATAACCAGAGTCTCGCTGGGACCTCCTCGCCAGTCCCCGTAACTCCCCGTCTCCTCCACTCAACAGCGGGAGCTCAGAGCCCCGCGTCAGCCTAGCCCACACGAGCTCCCCGGGCGAGCCGATCCAGATCCCAAGTGGCTCGAGAGGACTACGGGATGGCACACGAGCCGGCACAAACGCTCTACTTACTGGGGTTCTTCATCTGGAAGTGGTTCATCATGGCCAGGGCCTCCATGGCGTCGTTGATGGAATCCCACTCTAGCAGGCCGGACGAACTGCGCTCGCCTGCGCCCCCACATGAGGAGAGAGACGGATACGGAGTCCAATTTATTCACACTGCATCCACCAGTGGTAAAAGCCTCTGCACACTTCACTCACTGTCTGCGAGAAGACGCCTGCTGCGCAAACCAGTTTTAACTAAGCAAGTGTTCTGCAATGTGGCTATGAAGACGGGCCCTGTGCCTTCATCACACGGCACAGCCCCAGTTCTATGCACTATGTCCTATTTATGTATTGACTGTCACTGTTTGCAAGGTAAGGTTAGGCTGTCTCGGCCTGTCCATTAGGGGTGCCAAAGGCCTTTTATTTTTACTCGAGTCTCCGCTACCATCAAACACTCAGACACTCTTAGCAAGGTGTCTCTCTTTTGCAGAGCTGGCGGTTGAGAAGGCCCACAGGAGAACTCAGATGACTACAGTCTCTCCCTGGAATTACCACAGGCAGGTTGAAGACAGCGCCACAGGACAGACACAGCACAGCATTCCATGCCACAGGTGCAGACAGGAGGCGTCATATCAGAAACCCGTAGAGAAATCAGGACAGACAGCGTATAATAAGTGGGATTACTGGGAGTACTTACTCTTTCCCGAAAAGAGCTTCACGTTAGATGGGCTCTTGACTCCCAACTCCTCACAGATCTGAAACACCCAGATAAAAGCAGAGGTCAGCTGTCGGTTGACATGAGGCACGTCTCTGAGATAGCGGCGGGCGAACAGCCAGACGCTGCACGCTCTAGCAGTGGCTTTCCGAGCAAAGCAACATCCCGATATCTGTCCCCACCCACGAGGAAGACTCCCTGCCCACCTGGTTGAAGATCTCCACGGTGACGTCAGGCTGGGCGTTGAAGAAGTGCAGGACGTTGCTGGGGTGCTGGATGCGGTTCTTGGCGGCCTGCTCCGGGGAAGTAAAGCGGTTGTTCCGCGAGCCGTGGAAGTCCTTGAAGCTGCTGGTGCCGTCCTCCAACTCGTAGGACTGGCCGGGCATGATGGCCTGCTGCTTGGACACGCTGGAGAGGGAGGGAGGAACAGAAAGAGGGAAAATGAGACGAGAGACCATCATCTCAACCTGCCGCAGGAAGAGAGGGGGAAGGAGAGGGACAAGCCTGCTCACTTACCACACGTTGAGCTTCTGTCCGAACAGGAAGTTGTTGTTGAGGTGAGTTATGGCACGGTCCACAGCGTAGCAGTCGCCCATCTCTACCATGGCAGCTCCAGGCTTACTCTTCATGAACTTTACCTGCAAGGCAGCGGGAGGGAGAAATGTCACTGCTGTCCCTTCCTCCTTCATCCCACCACACAGCTGTCAAACCACCGGTTTTTAGCTACAGAAGCACAGCTGAGCCGATAAACTCCAGGGATTAGAGCTCTTTAAGAAACGTCATCGGCGGAGTCGCTCACCCTCTCGACGTTGCCATAGAGACAGAAGACGTTGAACACCCGGTCCGCGTTCATCTTGGAAGGCTCCAGGCCGTACACCATGACGACGGGAGAGTCGGCGTGCGGGCTGTACTCCGGGGGAGGGGGAGGAGGAGGAGGGGGGTGTCCGTACTGCGGCCCCCCGTACCGCTGGCTGTGGCCCCCCCGCCGTGGCCCGCCCATCGGTGGCCCCATGCGCCGGCCCTCATAGTGAGGAGGGGGCGGGGGCCCATAGCTGTCATCGTGGTAGTGGCCATGATAGCCTCCCTGAGGGCCGCCTGCAGCCAAGAGAGAGCGAGAGGTGAGCCCTGCCCAAGCTACTCTCAAGCACACACACACAATCCGTCTTGTCACACTGCAGCACACCTGCATACACACACACACGGACAAACTGCACCACATGACACGGAGACACAGGTATCAGAGTGCCTACCGTACTCCGGAGGGTGATCTCCTAGCAGCGCGGGCTGCCTCTGCCTCTTGTTGGGGTTCGAGTTCATATCTGCAGTACACAGAGGCAGAAGGTAAGACTGTCAGTGTGTGGAGAAAGTCCCCAAGGGCAAGCAATCCAAACCCCCACTGCCTCATCTACTCCAGGTTTCACCAGCTGCAGGTTCATCCTGCTCAGTCCGGATGATCCCGTTCTCCTGCACAAAAGCCAACATCTCCACTTCACGCAGATGTAACCAAGAAAGAGCAAAATGGCAACAGTATCTGCGAAGAGACCATTGGCTTTTGAGCAGAGAGCGGCAACTGCTAAAATCCACGATTCCCTGTGTAACTTTAACCATGACCAATCAAGACGCGGTCAATGTGCCCCCTAGACATCATAAGCCTGCGCTACCAACACATGAGCATGAAAACTGGCAAAACCAACAGCACCAAGCAGTGTCTCTGAGAACGACAGCAACACTGCTAGAATTAACTGTGGATCAGGCCATGTTTGCAAACTCCTTGCCAAGGTCAATTTAAAACTGTCTCTTAAAGAATTTTGCAATACCCAACAGACTGGAAATTTGGATGAGCTACAGGGCTACAGAGACCGCTCAAGCCTGTCTGTTTCTGGCAGTTGGTCTGAAATCAATAAACCAACACCACTAACATTTACAGGAAATTCAAATCCAGGACATTCCCATACAGTACAGGAGAATTGAGCACATTGTAGGTGCTGCTCATGCACAAAAGCTGCAGTGCTACACATCCAGAGGGTCTGGTGTTTGACTCCACCAACCCCAAAACCACGGGGCAAGGCAGGGAGCGACTCCCCCCTTTCTTTGTCCCAGCAGACACTCAGGAGAGTCTATTGGCCTGCGGGAGGACCCGTTTCACAAACTATTGAGACCAACAGCACCATTAAGTTGTCACAGCCCCCACACACGTGAAAAACAAAACAACAGCTTACTAAATAGCACAAAAACAAAGATTCAGGTTTTACAACATCTTAAAATGAATACTATGGCCATGTCAAAAACAATACTTTCTTGTAAGGGAACAAAGACACAGAGATTACATTTTATTTGGGATGAGAGAAGATACATGAAATCAGGAGCCAGAAATAAAATCGCACAGTGGATTAAAAAAATAAATCCCCAACTGATACAGAGAACGGATTCCTCTGCTAGGACGCGACCCTGGCCTTCGCAGACTGAGAGACCAGCTTTCCCCAGTGGCGAAGAAAAGGAACAAGACCCCCGCCCCCCTCCCACACAGTCTGCAAAGCCAGGCGCGCAGCAGAAAAGTACAAGTCGGAAGAAATGAGTGCGAGTCCCTCCAGTGGAAAGGGTAACATCACTGCCTTTATTGAACGTCAGCACTGTTCAGAAACAAGCATGGCTGTGGGAGTCTTCGCTACAGCACCGCGCTCTTGCTCAAACTGCTGGGGGGGGGGGAACAGCCCCCGTAAACGACGCTAAACAAAGCCAGCGCAATACGGCGAGCGCGATCTGAAGCCACTGTAACTCTACCAACAGAGCACAAAAACACCTCTCTGATCGCATCTCACAGCTGGAGTACTGCACGCCGAGGCGCACCGAAACAGAAGTGAGATGGGGGCAGCCTGCTGAAGAACACAACAGCACACCCCTCCCCAGAAAACTCTTAGGTGATCCACGACACTGGGGACCGAAAGTGCACATGGCCGAGGAAGACTCCCAGAGCAGCCTGCAGCTTTTACAGTATTGAAAGTAACAAGACATGTCTACGGATTTACAAAGATCTTAAGAATAGAAAACAAAAAGTTGAGCTTTACTTACTGGCCTCGATGAGAGGATAAGGGGAGCATGGGGCAGAGGCAGCCGGCTCCCTAACACCACACCGCACCTCCAACCGCTCAAATTAACTCAATTCTCTCCGTCCTCGTACCAGAACAAGCCTTTTTTACTGCGCCCTCGTCGTGACGGCCGCCGTTGCTTTTTTTTTTGTAAAATAAACTGCTTACCGTGGTTCGACAGCAAGCAGACATTTTGCACTGTTCAGAAAGACGGATGTCCTCAACAGACACACAATCCCAAACCTGCATCACATGGGAGTCGTTACAGAGTCGTCAATAGAGACCTTTTCTACAGCACAAAAGCTTGTATTCAAATTTGTTTTTTAAAGTAAAAAGAGCAGAAAACACAAGGAGTAGAAGGGTGTTTTTATTTAAAACCAAGGGGGGTAAAGGGAAGGAAAAAAACCTGATTCCACGAAGAGGTTCTAGCCTGAGAGCAGCGTGGCTGTCTGTCTGTCTGGATGTGCTGTAATAGGGTGTTGAGGTTTCTGAGTGGCCGTGCCCCTTTGTCAGACGTCTCTCTTCCGTGTCAATGTCGGCGTCCTTCCGTGTTTAATGGGCTGTGTGCTGCCCACCCTGCCCCTCCCCAGAGTTTGCTACAAGCGCGTCCTGGCTCAGCCTTGGCCTGGGTTACGAGCGTGGATCGCTTTCGGGTCGGATGTTTGTGTTTGTGCCAGAAAGCAAACAGAGCCCGCGCACCCACCAGTGGCGCTGAATGTGTCCCTGAATGGACTCCCGCTCTCTCTCCCCCTGTGTCTTTTGCCTTTTTGTCAGTAGATTTTCTTTCACTTTTGTGAGTGGGGTGGCTTTGTGGAGTTTCTGCCCCTCTCTGGTGTCGTGTTTCTCCACACGAGTCGAGTGTCGCAGTGCAGGGCTCCTCTGTCAGCAGTAAGGTGTGGTCAGGGCAAACTTTCAGGCATGTGAAGAGAGCACATGCGATGGCTCAATCCTGGCTTGGACCACGGTGCCAATATAGCCCCACCCCAGCCCTTCCCTCTCCCCTCTGTCTCTCTCTCCCTCTCCATGGAGGTAAGGATGTATTGTGTACAAAAAAAATCGACACCACTTTAAAAGAAGTCTTCTTGCGCCTTGTGGGAGGTGAGAATGTCAGTCTGAACACAATGTATCTGCAGCTGTGGTGGGAGTGTTGATGTTGATGTTCTGGTCTCGGGGGTCTCGCAGTGTCTCTCTTTCTCTCTGGTGCTGCCCCGGTCTGTGGCGGTGAGCTCAGGATTCTCCCTCTCTTTCTCTCTGAGTGGTTAAGTGAGAAATGTCGTCCTCTGTGGTGACGGTGTTGCGATGGCATGGCAGCAGTGTGGTCGCTGGTGCGAGCTTGTGAAGTGTCCCCCATGTTTTCCGATGCTGCCGCTGTGGGACTTTTTTGGGGGAGGGGGTGAGGGTGGGGTTTCTGTAGCTTGTTGCTGTAGCTGTTGGAGAGGATGTTGGCTGTTGTTTCTGGAGTTGGGATGTGCGTTGGTGAGGACCCTGCGTTGTGTAAGCGCGCAAGGGATGTGAAGAGCACACAGGCCTCTGGGGCAGCCATCGGGCGAGTTAGCAAAGCACTCCCGTGTCGCCACGCTCGACGCATCGCCACACGACAACTCGTTACAACGTGGAAACTTCACGGCCATCTTTCCTAGCTGGGCCCGCACCTCCCAGAACGCCTCCACGCAAGGCTCTGGCTCAGAATCAGATCTTCCCATTCTGCGAAAGGGAGGTTTTGTAACGTGGCCGTCTAAAATTAAGTCCGAAGTTGGCTATGACCCCTTTAGAGCTTGAAAAGAAAGCCTTCGCAGCTATGCAGGAAGGTGAAAACAATCAGATCATTAACTTCAAAGAGCTTTCTTTTCAAGGGGCAAAGTCAGACCTTTATGTGCATGAACGGCTTAATTCGCAACACGGTCAGACTGAAGGGAAGACCAGCCGAAAGCAGAAACCGAGAGGTTTGTGACTTATGTTGGATTTCTCTCGTAAGTGAGAAAGTAACATGAAGCAAGAGGATACGCGTCTTGCTGAACATTGAATGGACACTGGATGCACGTGTCCTTTGTCCAGTTCAGCGCTCAGGTTCCTGTCTCAAGTCAGTCTGTCCAGTAGTAATGAACCAGGTCATTACTAAGGACTGTTGTTTGAAAAAGTTCTTCTCTCTGTGACTACAGAGATCAGACCAGACAGGGAACTAATACCTGAGCAAAAGAAAAACAGGAAAAATGGCCACACTTCACCAACCCAGCATCTCACCTGGCTGGCTGAGCTCACTCCCAGAATTCCCAGGCTAAGAGATGTGGAGACGAGCTCTCTCCCTGACCCTTCGATCCTCAGGCAGCGAGACACCACCGACAACAGGGCTGGAACAACCTGCCAGGGCGCCCTCGGCTCCCCGAGTCACTGCGGCCCCGGCAAGGGGTCCGAACGGGACCGGGTCAGGGGATTGGGCCTACGCCTCCCGCGTACGTATCGCTACACGAGCGCAGGTGGGAAAACACACGACCGACACCTCCTAACCGAGCGGGTGCTTAACGAGGAGGAGTGGAAACATGAGTGCGACTCTACGGAATAAACCAGGTGAGGCTGGGTGAAGGGTGCCGGGCAGTCAAAGACAAAGGCACGTGAAGTGTGCAAGTCTGTGTGGGCAAGGGTGACCGCAGGTGTCTGCCTGTGTTTGCGCGCACGCCCGGAAGAGACAGCTGCCCTGGGAGATGCTCTTCACATCCCTTGTGTGTCCCTGCTCCAAAAGAAAGCTGTAGTGTGCCGTTAGGACAGAGGACAGGACCAAACACCATGTGACCAGCCACAGCCATAATGCCACTGAGCCAGAAGTCCCACCCACAATACCCTGCCCTACCGCAGGGCGCTGGAGCGTCCCTGCTCTGGGGGACGCTGGGGGGACTCCGCCCCTTTCTCTGTTCAGTGGCGCTATAGCGTGAGGTTCGCCCTCACCCCAGACCCGCCCCCACCCCACCCTCCACAGTGGTGCCTGAGGGTGCCGTGTGGAGTCAGACGGAGATCAGCAAGGCAGGCAGGCTGGAGACTTTACCTTGGCCGCTGAGATTGGGGTTGGTGTAGTCCCAGGTGTCCTGGTCGTTCTTGAACACATTGAGGCGCGTCGGCTGGCAAAGGAGAAGAGGGGGGAATGTGACACCGACGCTGCAGGCATCTCACACATCTGGTTGTCAAGTCCAAATACAACCAGGAACCCACCCAACCCCCATCCAAGTGAAAAAACTAGCCAGCCGAGAAGCGCAGGTCAGGAGGGGGCTTACCTTGGCATACTCGATCTTGAGAGTGCAGCAGCCAGAGTAGATATCGGCGCCGTTGAGGGACGCCTTCGCCCTCTGGGCGCTCTGGACCGAGTCGAATGTGCAGGGAATCAAGGAAAAACCGACAAACTCTGGAACAGCACTGGCATCGGCACATCCTAGCCCCAGCTTAGCCGAGTTGACTAACTATCCAGTACACCCCCATACTGGCAAGGGTACGGCGCAAGCGCACGCTTCAACCACTACTTCCCCATTCACAACCTAAAACCACACCAAACAGGTCAAGCAAAAGCAAAAACCTCAATAGTTCAACTATAAACATGTTTTCTGGAAAGAACTGGAAAGACACAATGCAGCAACTGTAACCACATCAAACTATGTACCGCAGGTCAGAAACCGCACCACCGCGCAACGAGGGAATACCCACGCACTCAGCAGCCCAACATACGTGTCTGTGTGTGTGTGCGTGCGCGATACCGCCACAGCAATAAAGGATATTCCACCATGGCCTGGACCCCGTTCTTCCTGAAGATGACGATCCTCTGGACCGGCCCGCAGGGGTTGCAGATGGTGTACAGCACGTCCTGCAGACAGACACTCTCGTTACTCTCTCTGGTTTAGCGTCCAGCAACAGGGCCCGGCGCACGCAGCACCAGGCCACTCGCAGACCGCCAGGTCCGTTCAGACAGGCCCCCCTCAGAGATAACCCCCAGGCCTATCGGACCCGTCTCTAAGCCCACCGGATGGATGCAACGGAACAAGAGCGTTACCGTGGTGATGGGGTAGATGGGGTTCATGATGGTGAGCAGCAGCACGTTGTTGACGCTGCGAGAGTCGTCGGGGTCCCCGGGCCGCGAGATCTTCTGGCTGGTGGAGTAGTTGACGAAGGCGGGGTGCCCTGCGATGTAGATCTGGTTGTCGGAGGCGTAGTTCACGGCGTTGCAGGAGCCGTTGATGTCCTCGTATTCCACCAGCGCCTGGCGCTTCTTGGGCATCACCACCACGTAGCTAGAGGGGGGGCGGAGGGGAGAGGGGTGGTGAGACAGCCTGGAGGCGACGGGGGCGCTCTGCTCAACGTCAAGATGGGGGGGGGGCAGACTCACCTGATGGGCCCGAACTCCTGCAGCGCCTCCACCAGGTCGGCCTCCATGACCCCATCCACCAGCCCCCGGACGTGGACCACCGGAGAGGGCAGCGTCTTGTGGGGGTCCTCGTACCCTTCCTGGAGACACAGACAGGCAGGCACCGGTCAGCACAGAGCCAGCCTCCTCAATAAAACCGACCCCCCACCGCTTCTTCAACATGCCCGGCGCCCCACCAGTCCTGCCCTCGCTGCCACTCCGCAGACGGACACGCAACCGACTTTCAAGAGGTACAGGCGCCTTTATGACCCATTTCGTACGCCTCCCGAGTCGCAGAGCTGCGCCCCTCGCCCTGGACTCGCCTCTCCTGTCCGAAGTCGCTTCCTGGGCCCGGCGGCGCGGAGATGGCGGTCCCCCCCGGAGGCGCCGGGCCTGCAGGCTGCTGCTCACGGGGGCACCGTGTCCGCGGCGTGAGCGACTCCCGGGCAAGCCAGTCTCCGGCTAAACTTATTTTCAGTCTTTTTTCAAGCCCTTTCAACCCGAATCCAACACGCAGTCCGGTTACAGGCACCTGGTCTGTGTTCCTGCAGCCGCCCGAGGCCACAGCTGTCCGCTTCTCGGACAAAGGAGACCGCGTCCCTAGTCACCCTTCCCGGCTCTTACCCGCTGTCGATAAGGCCAGAAGGAAAAATGTCGGACGGGGGCACACCGTGCGTACTACTTAAACTTACCGATGTAACATCGCACATTAAACAAAATAACTTTGGGGAAGGTATATTAAAAAATACCGCCCGGCCGAGCTATCGTCAATAACATTCAAACACGCAACAAGTCCTGGAAACAACAGAAAAAAACATTCCAATTCATCTTTAGTTCAAAATCCACTTCAAACAGGAAGACTTATCTCCTGTAACCCGGGATTATCGGGGCGGTTGGACCGCACGTCTCTGTCGGTATCGAGAGCCCAGACGCACACGGCGGTAACCGGCGAGGCCCTCGGCAGCCCAGACCCAGGAACACCGAGCCGGCGGCGGGACGGGCCGCTCGGCTCCTGCGGGGCCTGTGGGCGGCCGGGCGGTTTGAGAAGACGGCGGTGATTATGGCGGTGTAGGGGGGGGGAGGGCAGAGCGCAGTTTTCTCAGGTAACAAAGGCCGGGGCGGCCAACGTGGCCCCACCGCTCCGACCGGCGCTCGGTCACTGCGGCCCCGCCGGACCAGGAGCGACCCGGCGAGGCGAGAGGCCCCGAACCCCCCACGCGCCCGGGCTGCCGTTACCTCCCGGCACACGCGCCCGCCGCGAGACACAAACGCGGAAAATTCGGGGTTCGACCGCCGTCAATAACCGCCCGTTACGGTCCGGTTCAATCGTTCGCGGTTCAAGAGGCGCGAAATCGCCCACATTTTATGGAAATGTCGACCCACGGCGCCAGCCCGGCCCGCTCAGGTTTCGACACAAGCGCACCGCACCGTCCGGTCAGTATCCTTAACCACCTCCACCACTAAGGTGGATTTTAAAAATCGTGTTTTTTATCCCCTTAACTGCTCGCATTTCTTCACTGTTAGTTTGGCTGTTCTGACGCTTTTCATCTGTTTAGAAAAATGTTTTTTCCCCACCGTTGCCATGCCGCCGTCGTTGTTCTCGGTCTTCTGTCTCTTCGTAGCTCTGCCGCCCTCGTTGTAGTACCTTCCCGCTTGTGCAGCCATTTTGTAGCAGTTAAAAAAAGCCTGGGCAACGCAGACGCCGAAATGAGACGGACGCAAAAGCGAAAGAAAAGGAAAACCCGCAAGAGACCGCCCACCAGCGACACAACTCGGCCTGGGATTGGAGCGATCGCGCTGTCAATTCGAGAGCGGCGCGACGGCCGACCATTCAAACGCCAAGAAACCGCCCCACGACGTCGGTGATTGGCCGCGCCGGCGCGTCAATCTTAAAATACTCGAGACGCACCGCCCACGAAAGCGTTCTATTGGCCGATATCGCCAGTCGGGATACAACGATTGGTCGGCTGTCCACACCAATCTCCCGATGCAGTCTTCGCCGTTTACTTCCAAACTCTCGGCATAAGTCAGACGTTCTCTGTGCTTCTTGCGTGAATTGGTTTGTCGTAGGCATGCACGGGAAAGGAAACAGGACTTCACCCAGCTTTCAAGAAACTTTAAAAATGTTCCTACCATTGGTCTTAAAAACTGGTTTCACTCCGCCCGAGTCAGCACCTAAATCCGGCCACGACGCGCAACGACGCACGCGTCTGCGCACGACCTTTTTTCTTTCGTTTTATTCAGTTCAGGAGCTGCACACACGCAGCGTGTCGTGTCAGTTTCCTGCCCATTGATGCCCGCCCTTAGACATCCTTCCAGTTCGTGTTGTTAACCGAAGCGTCAGCAAAGAAGTCGGTTTCATACTAGACACACAACGACTTAGTGACCAAAAAATATAAAGCTCCCCCTTCAGAACATGAGCTAAATTCTGCAACCCATGATAACTGAGCATCAGCAGCTTCCTTTTGCAGCGACCCAGTGTGTGTTCGAGATCGAGACAAGCGCCTATCGGCTTTACCCGCTTTTCTTAGGGCCTTCCTCCAGGATGCAGGGGACAGGAGCAAAACAGATGGACATAGCCCCAACACGAGAAAGGACAAAACTACAGGAGGGCATCTGGCCCTTCGACTTCGTTTGGTCACATGTAGCTGATCAAGCTGAGTACCTCCTTGAAAAAAGCCAACTGATCCCCCCTTGTTTCAGACTCCCACCACCCTTTGTGTAAAGACCGCGCTGTGCTGTTCTTAGTCTTGAATGCCCTTTCCCACCCGCGCGCACCTTTCCAATGTCACCCCACACAGCCAGACTGAATAACCCATGCAACTCCAGCCTCCTCTACAGACATAAGCCGATTATAAACACTTGAGTCACCCTTTGACCACCCACAGATAGTCAGGCATATTCCCTTCCCCTTCTCTTGAAATGAACAGCAAGGCCCAATCTTTCTTCTACAGGAGAAGAAAAAACAGACAGAAAAACACACGCTGAGCCGAATGCCAATCAGGAAATGCAAATTCACCCTGAGACACATCAGGCTTGGTAGCAAGCGAGAATCTTCAGAGGAAGTGAAAATGACAATGACATTTACCAACACTTTTCATCCCAGGTTCTCCTTTACCTGTCCAGCCAGCAGGACTGTGGACTCTCTGGTATTGGGGCAGGACAGCCCGAACCAGAACACTGCTCTCGCTGCACCTGCACAGGGGCCAGTGGAGGATACTGGACCTTTGGTGGCACATGGACCTAAACCGACCACAGGGAGCATGGCTGCGGGGCGCACACGAAACACTAGAGCAAGACACTAGCCTTTTAATACAAAGAGGTATAATTACCATGATACTGAACAGCTCAACTGTCCAAAAACAAGCAAGCACCTGGCACTCTGAAGCGTTTTCAGCCTTCTAAAACAAATACCATAGCCACGAGGGATAAAAACTCACCTTTGAAATATTTCTCGCAAAACCAGAGCATTCGACACAGACGCCCCTCCCACTTTCCCAAAGAGCAAGACTTCCATCTTTGCAAATCAGTCAGGGCAGCTGAATGAGTCCGCCATCAGTCCACTCCTGATCGGACTGGGAAAGCACACTGCTCTTTAGAAGGCAAGTGCTCGGCTGTGGTACTATGAGCTCAGCACAAACATGCAGCACGAACAGCACCCAGCCGAGCTGGGGGGCTCAATCCACGCGAGCAGGACATTAACCGGGACGGAAAAGTCGGTCAACTTTCAGCCACTGCGAAGATGGCTTATCGGAGAGAGGTGTTCTCAAATAATTCACAACAGTAAACAGCTTTTGGGTGTGTACAAGTTTACTTTACTGTTTTAAAAAAAGACTGGATCCATAACGACCATTAACAGGTAAAAAAAAAAAGTTTAACAAACCTGCACGCTCTGATCACAACACTTAACACCATCAAATGGAACTTCAGTCCCTACGTTAAAACGTCCTACAGTCAGCAAAGGGGCTCACGTGTAGGAGACAGGCTTCTAACACATGGTAGTATGCCGCGTAAAAACTGCACACATTCAGGGGGGAAAAAAAAAAATCACAAGAAACAAAAACAAGCCGATTTCGGACAAACGTGTATTTGGTGTTGACATCCGTCCAGTTCTTCGTTATTTTTTCCCCAGGAGGAAATAAAGGATGTGGAATGTGTTGCGGCAGAGGCGGCGCAAGAGGACGGGATTGAAACAAAACCACTAGGGCTGCTGGGACAGGGGGGAGCTCGGGGGGTTAAAATGATTACAGGACAGGTGGCCGCCGGACGCGACGGCAGGGCCGGTGGCACAGGTCCTCGCTCACTTGGCGTCGGGTGTCAGGCTCTTCCTGGGGCTGGGCGACCGGGAGCGGCTGAAACAAGACAGAAAAGGCACACGGCCGTTAGCGCGCTCGCACCCGCGGCCCTGGCAGCGCCCCCGGGCCTCCTGCTTCACTCCCACCCCACCCCCCTCGCGCTGGGCAGGACGGGGCCCCGGACGCAGATTGGCACCCCCCCACTTAAAACACCATGCAAGTTTCCTCACGTCGGAAGTCCGAAATGATCCGGACTATCCCAGTGAACTGAGCATCCCTCTGTCCCGGGACACGGGAGGAACGATACTGCAGCCACTGAACGCCCTCAGAAGGCAGGGTGCATAGGCTTGTGTCTGCAGAAGAATGGCGCTCAGCGGCTGCTCTCAAGCGCCAGCTGTACCGCAACTCGCTGCAGCCACTCTTAAAACCGAGTACGAAGCATGAAACCCTGCAAGACCACCTCCACATCTTTCCAAGTTCTCAAAATAAAGCCCAGCCATTATTTAGGTGTCAAGCCCCCTCAACTCCAGAATCTCAAGAAGGAGGGAATAATCAAAGGAAAACTGGGAGCAAGCGTGAAGCAGGACCCACGGAACGCGAGCATAAAAGCAAGACCCTTTTCAAAAACCCTTTATTGTCTGAAACCCGCTGAGGACCTGACCTGTAACAAGAGACAGGAGGCCCGAGCTGAAAGTGCTCCAGAGAGAGACTGGTGTCAGAGCCCAGGGGATACGTTGGCACTGTGCCACTGTTACATGGCGTACTTGAAGCTGCACTGATGTTGGACTGCCCGGTCAGACTGACAGGCTATCCCAGTGCTGCAAAATGCAGTGTGGGTAGAACAGGGGCAACAGACAGATACTTTTAAATCATAAAAGTCCCAGGACAGCCCCAATTCGTTGGTTTCACGAGCAACATCATGACACAGGACTTTAAAATGAGTCACTACGATTAAGCCCACTGGTCTCTCCAGAATCAACACTGGTCACACAGAAGAGGCTTTTTAAAGCTTGTGGATTGTGAGCAGGGCTAAGCATGAAAACCTGGGACCAACTGATTAGAGTATCGCAGTACGAGACTAGGAACACTGAGTGCTAAAGGACTGGAGTAGGGAGCAAAACCTTAGCTCTTATAGAAGGGTCAAACTGCAAGAACCAAGACTGAGAACCAGCGGCCTGAAATGAGTCCTCTGAGGGTCCGAGGTCAGGGCAGTCCAAGATCAGTGCTGAACAGTGAAGGGTGTGACCAGCCATTTAATCCCTAGAAAGCATTCAACTTAAACGAAGGTGACTGCAGACCAATTATCACAACTGAAAATCAGGTACAAAAGCCATCACCTCAACAAAAGAGCACCACTGCTGCTGCTGCTGTTTTTGAAGGCTTGCTCACAGCACAGGCGGAAAGAAGATTCCCAACCGCACAGCAGATGGGTCTATTTCAGGTCTGTATGATAGGCACAAATACCCTCTTTCAACTCCTTTACTTACAAATTCATACAAAAGCATGGCTTTTCGTACAAGGACTACTAGAGCCCCAAACAGCCCGAGCTGCTGTGCCGTGGGGTCCTGTCTGCCCAGCCAAGTGTGACCGGCGAGTGCTGCCGACAGTCACAACAGTGGTGCCCGAGGTCACGAGGCCACAGCACCTTCTTGCAGCCAGGTTGAAAAGTCCCAGCCTCGCACAGCCACTGTCCAGCAGGTGTCACAGGCCACCCTTAAACAGGATGTTTTCTAAACGTCCCCGACTACTCTCCTAAAGGATTGCAGATGCAGGTATGTTTTAAGCAGGTTCACAAACACTCTACACCCCCATCGCTGTCTGTAGTGTCACAGAAACACAGGCCACTCCACACCTCAACCCGAAAAAACAATTGCTCAACAAATTAAAACCTGAAATTCCACCACACCCTGAGAAACCAGAGGTTTAAGGATGCACTATGAAAAACCAGTTGGACTGTGGCTCTCTAGGACTGGTCATCCCTGTCCAGCATGCAACCTGCTTCTAATCCCCCTCACCCAATATTACCAGCCTCTCCAGTATGGAAATGCGGTTTGATCTCAATTCTGCCCAGTTTCCCAATGCCCATCCTGGACACCTCCACCAATGCCCAAGTCAAAATACCTTACAGTATTTTCATCACAGTTCAGTTTTTAAAGTCAAAGAAGGATGATGTGCTGGTCTGGTTTGACCAACTGGGCCACTCAGAACTGGAACTGGGAAACTAGAACACTGATATATTAACCACCCCCCCACCCCAAGACCTCCCAAGCAGACTGGGGCTGTTCTAACGGTCTTTACCCAGCCACCACCAAAACAACAATACAGCATACTTTAAAAGCAGCTTGGAATAAAAAAAAAGTTTTTTTTCATGATATCAGCAAAAACAAGTAGTGACTTTTGAGTACATCAAAGCCGAGTTCTGAGTATAACTAAATACATTTACTTTTTTTACCTTTGCAAAGTGGTGGATACTCAGAGCAACATGAACAGAGACGCGACGCAAGTACTTGAAGACAAACACTGGAGGTCTTGAAGGCTGATCTCTGGTCAGCACGTTCTCTCTTTCTGCCTCTCTCCCTCTCTGTCTCTCTCAGAAGCTAAGCAAGGCTGGGCTGTGCCGAGTGGCTGGAGCTGGCCATTGCGATCTGGGGATCTGAGCTCTCACGGCAGGAGAAGACAGGAGGGGGAGAGTGGGGGGAAGAAGAGGGGGCGCTGTGCTCAGAACGTGCGACGGATGACCCCCTTCTAGCACGTGGACGGCCGTAGCCCTCTTGGAGTCTGATCTCTCGGGTCAGCTCTCACAGAAATGACAAAGCAAGGATGAACCTGGTCAGTACTTGCGCCGGACGAAACCCCCTCTAAAGCCCGCAGCCAAACAGCGCTGGAGTCTGATCACGTCAAGATTTCTCTTTTCCCCCCTCTCGGAAGCTAAATCGAGTTTGGGGCTGGATCTGAGGCAGGGAGGGGGGAGTGGGCGTGAAACAAGACAACCTCCAGCCTTCAACACCATCTCGGAGTCTGATCGCTCGTCAGCTCTCGCTCCCCCTGTGAAGCTAAGCAAGGTCTGGCCAGGTCATTCTTGGATGGATGACCTCCAAGAGAAAAGAAAATAAATCAGATTTTGCAGCGCGGTCAGCTGGTGTCCCTGGGTTAACAAGAAGGGGGCTTTCTCCCTCAGTCGCTGGACGATACACAGCCCACAGCTGGCGTGCCAGACTGGACAGAGTTCTCTGGTACCGTAGGAGCCGACATCATTCTGGTGTCATGTTAATCTGAGATCATGTCTTTAATCTGTGCATACTCAAACTAAACCAAAAAAAAAACCTTGACAATCTGAATAAAAGTCACACAATAAGTAAATAAGTGTCAGGAGTTAGAACACACAAAACATCACATCAGATCTCCTTTCTGCCTAACAACATGAACCAGTCACTAGCATGATCATTTTATAACCCATAGACCTATAAAACAAAACATTGCAAAGAGAGAAAGACATCAGATGTATTAATCATGAACAGATGTATTTAGCTCAAATGTACAGTTACAATGTACACATTTTCTATTGCCTGTTTAACACCTAACTCCTGCACTGCATCATCAATGTACTTCTGCATCCTGCTGAAATCATTCAAAACGACTGACTGCAGTGCACCTATACTAAATTTATACAGTTAACTGTCCTTGGTATCAGGACGTCTCTGCAGAGCAATAACACTAACTGCTGAGAGTCACCCTGGATAAACACTGCAAACATCCTGTGCCCTGTCCTCCTGGTCCGGTTCCTTGCTTACCTTTCTCGTTTGGCGCTGGCTGAGTGGGACCGGGAGCGCGAGCGGGACCGGGAGCGAGACCGGGACCGGGAGGCAGAGCGCCCCTTGGAGCGAGACAAGGAGCGTGACCTGGAGCGAGATCGGGAGCGACTGCAAACAGAGGGGGGAAAAAAAGGTCACTGGGTCACTCACACAGGGCACTGCAGGGAGAAGTCAGTGGGGACCACCCAGTCAAGCACTCACTCTCTTTTGGTTTGAGTGGATAATAAAACAGGCCACAGGGAATCGAGGCTCAGAGACCGTCGTTGTCTCTGTGCTCCCATACTGCACTTCGGTCATTCACACGCCTGAGCCCTGCTGTGTGGCAGATACACCCACTGGAGACTAAAACACAGCATGGGGTTCACAGCCACACTCACTCTCCCTGAGGACACCAGGAACTCACCTTTACAAACTACACACGTGTGAAGAGCTGTGCATTCACGTGCAAATAAGGTGATAAAAAAACACGCAGGTTCTTTTAGTCTGAAGATGAGTGCACTCCAGGGAATAAGGTACAAACAAAAGCCAATTTTCAGCTACTTTACACAGATAATGGGCACCTTTTAATGCATTTTAATCACAGCCAAGACTGAATTCCCCAACAGTCCTGTTTCTATTTACAAAAAATGGAAATCAACTCACTATGACCAGTTTAAATGCTTCCCCTGGCTCTGTAAGTGCTGCTGCTTAAAAAGGACCCAGAAAATCTGCACACACCAGCCTGCCAAGACTGGTATCAAACAGCCCACAAAGAGACCAAGGCTGAGCAGGGAAACAAAGGTACACAGGAGGCCGTCCTCCTCTCACGCCTCGGCTCCTATATTACCCCCTGCCGAGTATCAGAACCGCAGAGGCCACCAGACCTTACCTGCGCACCGGAGTTCTGGACCTAGAGCGAGCCGGGGAAGCGGACCTGGGGGGACAGAAGAGAGAAAAGTAAGCACTAAAGGAAGCAGGAATCTGATGGAAAGTGGTACCTGCTGGGTAGGGAGCACAGACACACACAAAGCTGCCAGATACTCTATATTGACAACAGTTCAACAGCTCAATTCATTTAAATGCAGAAAGGCTTTAAAGGAGCTCTCCACAAGGCACGCCCGACAGGCAGAGTGCTTTGAGTCCCTGCAAGGCCAGTTTTCACAGCCAGTGGCACCTAAAACAGGCTTGGCGCAGGTCACACCCGCGAGGGGCAAAGGGGCACGGCCGCGGGCGGGGCTCACCGGTTGCGGCTCCTGCTGCGAGAGCGATAGCGACGTCCTCGGGACCTGGACCGGGACCTGGAGCGGGACCGGGACCTGGAGCGAGACCTGCGCAGGGAGAGGAGATCGGGTCATCCTCTAGAAAACTGCCCCCACGCACCAACTCTGCACTTGGCAGCGAGAAGCGGGTGAGCTAAATCTTTAAAGCGTGTAATGTCCTTACAGAACGTCTTTTCGCAGACCCCAGCTTGCTCTCCATGAGAGACACAGACAGGGAGAGAAGCTGGGGGCCAGAGCAAAGGGTCAGCCATTTATACGGTGCCCCTGGTGCAGCTGGGGTTAAGGGCCTCGCTCAGGGGCCCAACGGAGTAGGACTCCTCTGCCGGCTGCAGGATACGAAACAGCAACCTTCCAGCCACAGGCGCAGATCCTCAGCCACCCCCCCTTCCCCACACCCAGCAGCAGGCCTTGCTCCTGGCAGGCAGGGGGTGGGGGAACAGTCAGCGTACCTGCTGCGCCGGCTGCCGCCCCTCTTGCTGAAGCGGTAGCAGTCGTAGGCGTAGTGGCCTCTCTCCCCACACTGGTAGCAACGGTCGTTGGGGTCAAAGTGCCGCCGGCTGGGGCGCCCGTAGCGTGTCTTCCGAGAGACGCCCGTCGACAGCTCCACGCGGATCCGGGAGCCGCACAGCACCCTGGGAAACAAGAGGGCTGGTCAGGGCCCATGCGAACACGCGGTTCACGAGCCCAAGCACAACTCCAATAGCCTCCACACTAGACCAAAGACACAGGGAAACTTCACACCTCACGTCCGGAAGTTGCTTTTTGTACAGAGTTATTTCTTCCCAGTTCAGAAAAGGTGAATTTTCCAGATCCGTTTTTTTCTGGAACTTTGACTTTGACCTTATGACAAAAACAACTTCCAGCGGTCTACACGCTGTCCGAAACGAGTGCGGGTTCAACGCCGCAGACCGGGGGCTCACTCACTTGCCATCCATGCCCTTCACCGCGTCCTCGGCGTCCCGGGAGTCCTCGTACTCCACGAAGGCGAAGCCGGGGGGGTTGCGGGCGACCCACACGCTGCGCAGCGGCCCGTAGTAGCCGAACGCCCGCTCCAGCTCGCCCTTCGCCGCCCCGCTGCCCAGGTCCCCCACGTACACCTTGCAGTCGGTGGAGTGGGACGAGCTGCGGGAGGACGAGTAATACGACATCCCTCCGCTGTGCCGGGGAGCGGAGACAGAGAGAGTCAGCCCCGTGAGCCCGCCACAAGCATCTTCCACAGCAAAGCAGATCCCCTGCAAGCGCCCCCGTCTCGCACACCCACCACAGGAACGGCTGAAACCCACTCACCCCTCTAAATGCAGCAGAGGCACCGGGAGCTAGGGCTAGCAAGGGATCACTGCGCAGGCTGCTGTACCAGTCCGACTACTGGTGCCTTCCATGCTCCTCTAGCTCGGGGGGAATACATTACTTTACCTGACCTGCACTTTAACACCTGCAACTGGGGGGCAGTGGTTGCTAGGGAGCTGGCATAAATGTGCAACATCTAAATGCTACAGAGGAGACTTATTCAGGATAGAAACGCTGGGATAAAGAGGGACTTCGCTTACTTCAGCCCCTAACTCAAACGTGCACCCAGATAGAGGATCCTACATTTTACTCGACCTTATCCCCATTAGCCTAAAGGCATGTAGCCCCCACAGCTAACCGCATCGCAGTGGAGCTCAGGTTAGTTTCATACAGCACAGGAAGTCGGAAACGGCGTTGTCTTGGCCTGAAGCGTGACGAAGAGTTCGGCTCACTGAGGCTCTATTTTCGTTGGCCAGCGGCGCAGCCCTGGGAGAGGATGTGCGGACAGCGCCCGCAGTGCCCCCGGTCCGCGGGCGAGCGCGCGGCGCACACGCCGCCCCACACACGGCTTCACGCGGGGATGCGCTCGCGCAGTGTGCCGCCTTACAGCGGCGACATCCGGACAGGCCGAGGAGCCCCGGAGGAGCGGGGCAAAACAACCCGATTGGCACAGCCAACACTTCCCTTTATCAGCGCTGTGTTACTGACGGTAACCGTGAAGCTCAAGGTTAAAGCTGTTCTGGACGGGAAATCAACACTAGAAGGGAAAGACTGCGCCAAACCTCGTAAAGCTTCAAAGCGTGTTTTTAGAAACATGAAACAACTTTACACTGGTCCGCTGGGCAACTTTCACCCCCCTGCTCACGCTAAAATAAAGACCTCGAAAACACCCGAGACAAACACCAGACGCAGAGAAACTGCAGAAATAACGCGTCAGTGAAGACGGAAACGGCGCGTAAAGATACCGCCAGGCCAGGCCCACCACCCCCCCCACACACCAACGAAATTCACATTATTTTAAACCCACCTTCTTTACCGAAAAGGCGGTTTACCGTTGCCAGAAAGGAACAAGCGCGCTTCGGCCGTGTACCCCAAGTTTGAAACAGCCGGCTGGCGCCCCGAGCAGGCCCAGGCGTGAGGCCCTCCCGCGTGAGGTAAACAATGGCGGCCGCAAACCACTCACCGTACAGTCCTGCGCTCGGCTTCCCTGAGAGGACTTCTAACCGCTTTACTTTCCAGCCCACACGAGAATACACGACACCTTTCCAAAATCGGGGGGGGATAAAGAGAAGACTGTTAGGCTATCAGGCGTATCCACAAGTGTACATACTTCGGCGCTTCGGTAGCGAACTGTAGTACCGTTCCCACAGGCCTCCTCTCTGCTCCGCTCTCCCTTCTCCGTCCGGCCCCGTAGCCGAGCAACCGGTGCGCCTGCGCACTTCGGGAGAGGAGGGGTTTCCCGGCAGGGGCGTGGTGACGGAGGCTACCGCTGGGGTGAGCTCCGTGCGCCTGTGACTAAAAACCCTCTGGTACCCACCGTTTAGAATGTGAAACTTTCTAAAGTGCTAAAAATGGAAACCCTCCCCTCCCTAGGTAGCGTTATTGCGATAATAACATCAGTTTGAACGTGCGGAACAACGTTAGAAGACACAGAAATGAATCTTAATTCACATCAGGCGTTGTATTGTGAATCATAAAACAGACCTGATGCCTACACGATCTCTGAAAGGGAGATCACAGCTGTGTAATCTAATATAAACAGCACTGCTCAGGGCACAGCCTAGCTCCAGGTTCATGTCGAAACCTTTTTCACCTGAACGTAAATATGATACTGCGGCATCGAGTTTGAATGAGTATTTTAGACCGCATAATAAATACAGCTCTCATGCCACTTGGGCGCTCCGGGTGATCGCTGTGTGGTAGAGCATGAGCCTCATAATCTCAGGGTCGTGGGTTCGTGTCCCACGTCGGGCGCCAAGTCCTCCACGTTGGAGGTTGGGCACAAGGCTGCCAACCCTCTCCTGTAAAAAACAAATGTTACAGTATGTGCCGGAAAGCAAAACGGGCGAACATCCGTCAGTCCTCCCAGCTGAACGACAGCAACAGTCTTACGCTGGTGTCCTCCCCGCTCCGTGAAAACACCCTCACGGACTATGCGATTCATAAACGTAGTAAAAAAATAGTTCGCATACCATTTTTCTAGTTCTTCGAAACGAGTAAGAACTGAGCCCGAGGATTCTAAATAAGAAAGCGGAGACAGGACTTCAAAATAAACTATATTTAATAAAGTCCACAGGAGTTCTCCAGGGTACAGTACACATCATGCTATATTCTCCGAAAAGGCGTCACCTTTAATATTTTTTGTCCCCAGTTTGAGATTTTTACATTTACTCATTTTTAGTTATTCTTCTCGTTTTTTGTTTTTGTTTTTAATTTTCCCTTAAATTCGCTGTTCCTACAAATACAGTCAAGAGGACAGGCCACAGAGTTCACACAAACACAGTTTCGCAAGACACGGAGCAGAGCGCCCCTATAACGAGAGGAAAACACAGAGGGACGAAAGAAAATTGAATTAACGGTGAGAATACAGCGTAGTTAAACCGCATTAGTAAATTACATCACAGCCTTCGATGACGGCCATTTCCAAAGAAGACATATCAATAAATTAATAAACAAGACACAAATGTCACACTTTGACAGCAGCGATTTAAAATGTGGTACAAGTAGCAGGATTCATGTCAGCCAGCTGTAGGTTGCTAACCTTGCTACACAAGTAGCTCCCACAGAAATAATACTGGTACCTGCCGTCTGCACAGAGTCCTGCCGTTTTAAAATGAGCACCCCGCCCACTCTCAGAAACGCGCCTCAGAGGCAGTGCCAACCTCCTGTCAGTGCTGGGTAACAAATCGTATTTTACCGTCAAAAGACACACCTGAGACTCGGCCACTGCAGACAAGCGCATCTGTCCAAAACATATGGGCTCCAGAATTCAGCCTGCGGCTCGAGCATCTGCATCAGGCCCTGCGTGGAACACAAGCCAAATCTCCAAGACAGGGCCTAGATTTAGTGACCACATGGTACCTGGTGCAGCGTCCCCATTGTGTTCATAATAATAATAATAATAATTAATAATTGCTTACACTTATATAGCGCTTTTCTGGACACTCCACTCAAAGCTCTTTACAGTAATGGGGATCCCCTCCACCCCCACCAGTGTGTACCCCCACCTGGGTGATGTGACAGCAGCCATTGCGCACCAGTACTCTCCCCACACACACCAGCTCTCAGTGGGGAGGAGAAACTTAAACAGCCTCATGCCTCCCCATTAACTCGGTGGCTAAAGGCAACAGCAAGCAGAGCCTCCACCTTTAGAAAGAAAAGCCCGCGGGTGCAGACACAGCACAGGACAGCGACGGACAGGCGTGCGCCGCAGCCTGCGCAACGCCCCCCCCCCCCCGCCGCCTCCAGCCCGGCCCGCGGGGAGCTTCTGCACGAGCGGCGTCTGAGGGAGAGGAGCACCGGGCTGGAGGAAGTCCAGCCAGGTTCCCAGGGCTCTCGGCATCAGGTCCCGGAGACCTAGGCTCCCCGGCCCCGCGGGACCGGATTCCAAACTCTCCTGGAATGGGAAGCAGCCTGAGGAATGGGGCGGAAGGGGGGTATCTGCCGCGGAGGGAAACGGCTCAGCTCCTGCCCTGAAGGAGGACGGCAATGCTACTCCACAGCCCCGGTGAGCTCACCGCCCTTAATCGACTCCCTCACACTCCAGCGCAGTTCCCACTGAACTGATCAGACACGCCTCCTTCGGCCTGCCTTCCTGACCAGCCTGACACACCACTCCTCGCTCGGTATCGGGTTTTACCTACAGTAGCGAGTGCTGCATTGTTTCCTGTTCCCCTGGCTTTGTTTCTGACTTTGTCTTCTGGATCTCGACTGGGTCATTGCGGATTTACTGGTTTTGGACCCCGGCCTGACCTCCTGACCCCCGCTTTTGGATGAACTCCTACTGGTACTTTTGAGTTCCGAGGATTCTGCTTGGGGTCCTTCTTCCGGATCGTAACAGGCAGTCAGCGACCACCGGTCCGAGCAGAGACGACAGCGGCCTTGAAGCCGTAGGAACGGCCGAGGTTCAGACCATCCGCTGTCGCAAGAAGGCCCCATCCGTCGTTCAGGATCCCCACCACCCCGGCCACAAACTGCTCTCTCCCCTGAGCTCCGGTAAGCGGTACGGCACTGTTAAAGCACCGACCTCTAGGCTGTAGAACAGCTTCTATCCCACTGCAGGACCCATCCTCAACAGCTACAGTAACTGCAGGGCGTCACACTCAACACACATCTGCACTCTGCACTGTTGCATGGACTGCCCTGGTTTTTTTCTCACAACTGCATATTTATTGTCCCACAACATATTGATTTTTTCCTGTTGTTATCATTTATTATGTTTGTACTGTCCACATCGTGTGGTGCTGCCTGTTGCTCTGTGCGTGTCCCGAGAGATCACCGCGCAGATGAATTCCAGCGTACGTGTCCACATGGCAAGAAGCTCCTCCACTCTTACTAAACGGGCAGGATGCTGGCAAGACATGGAAAACAGGGTACAGGAAAGGTTTCTCAAACCTCACAGAAACGGAAAAAAAGGACAAAAGCGAGACTCGGGCCTGCCGGCTGGCGAGCTGAGACGTGGAGGGGTGCAGATCACTTTGGAATCCGATCCCGGATGGATGAGGGAGCAGGGGGGCCGAACGCACTGGAGAATCGTTGTGCGGCCGGTCAGAACAGACTGGTAAGAAACCTACAACAGTATCGAGCGTCTGCATGACAGCTATCAAACTGTGCTCCTGGGGGCCCAGCGCAGGACCTGTGTAATTGATCTGGTTTCTAGAAAAGGTTCTGTCCTTTTCCCCTGTGTAGGAAACAATCCAGGGGAACCAGAGAGGACAGGTCACACGCCATGCAATGATCTGAATCCCCGCCTGATAAACAGCCGCTGCTTTTTCAAAAACATCATAATTCATCACCTTTAAGGAGAACAGTAACAAAATAAGTAACATTTAACAGCAGAAACATTCGGTGAAGAAAGTCACCAGCTTCACAGACATGAAACATAGGATCAGTGGGGGTGCACAGAAAGACAACCACATACTTTATATCTAAAGATTTGTCCTTGTTCGTGCTTACTTAAAAATGTCCAAGCTGAATAAACCGCATTCATGGCATGAGCTGTACAGCTGGATCTGAAGGATAAAAAGAGTTGAGTCTGTGTCTCCCATGGCTGTTCTGGACAGACCCAAGGTCCCCTGTCCAAGGTGGGCACCGCCCCTGCTCTCCCTGCTCCCGGGAGCTCTCGTACCCCTCCTCTTCCCTGCTGACCCGGTGCAGGTGGGACAGCAGGCTCGGCTCCTGGTCGGGAAGGGTGGGTGGGAGGCGGGAGCAGAGAAGATGCCACCCCAGGCCAGCAGCTGCTCCACGCCGGGCTTTTCTGCTGGTGATGTTTCCACTGTGGCTGGCTGGCGCGGACACCGGCAGCAGCTGGCGCCTCTGCTCAGGGTTGCTCATCTCCGTGTCCTGCGTGTCCGTCCACACCTCCCCGCGGAGCGTGGTGACCAGATTGCGGGGCTCTCTGCTTTCATGGGCCCCATTCCGGCTTCCTGGCCCCCTTCTCAATGTCGCTGCGCCGAAAACTCAAGTTGGAAAAACGAGGAGGACGCGTCTGCGCTCAGTTCGGGATTTGTGACGGGGAGAGAAAGAGCTTGCTGCACTGTCCTGTCAGCTGCATGGTGCACAGACAGTACCCCCCCCCCCCTGCAGCTCCTACTGTGTTGAAATCAGCCCATCCCTACAGACAGAGGTCCTGCTTCTGCCCCCCGTGATGTCAAATAAAAACCACCTTCCACATGAGTGTCTGAACCGGGCTGAGCTGCCAGTCGCTGCTGTGTTTGTGCCTCCTCCTTTCCTGTGCACGGGGGGGCTGTATTTTCTCTCAGGCACGTACGGCGGAGGAGATGGAGCAGCTGCAGGCAGAGGACTACAGCCTCTCCACTGTGGACACTTGTTCTCCAGCGTTACTCAGCCCTGAGCTGAATATCACATGGTCCGGCTCGGTGTCAGGAATGCGAGTGCTGCCCTGGCCAACCCGGAGTCCGGAGACGCCCACAGGAAGTCCCAGCTCGCTCTCCCGGTGCAGTTCGGGCCTTTCACCACTGAAACGGGCCCTCCAGCAGCCCTGTGCATTCTACTGCAGCCATACAGGGGTGCCCAGTGCTAAACACTGGCTCAGCTCTTGACAACCCAGCTGAAATAATTATACTGGTGCAAATCTGAAAGGGGCCAGATGGGGCAAAACGGCTTCTCGTTCGCAAGACGTTCCCAAGTCCTTCTGTAATGGGAGCCTGATCATCACAGCTTTGCCCGTTTCAACAGGCCGATCAACGCTGCAGGACTGGAGCCCTCCAGGGCTGAAGCAGATCACACCCAACAGTAACATGCTCTGCTATATTTACACACTGGACTGTCTGTACCTGCACTGTGAGCTGCCTGCGTTCACCACAATCCACAATACGGGATTACAGGGGGGTCTGACGAGTCAAGGTAAAGTGGATCAGGCTGGGAGGCTTCTGATTATGCAGCTAAGGGTCAGGTGTGATGGCAGTGGAGAGTGCATAAAGACTGGTGCAAAAGGCAGAGAACACAGGCTCGCCCCCGACTCACCAGCGCCGCCCTCCAGCCTGAGGCCCTGAAGAGCCACAGGGAAGCAGGATTCAGCCGGAAGCGCTGTGCAGGAGACGGCCCTTCGGAGAGGGGGGAAGGGCGAAGGGCTGTTGCCAAGCGGTGGAGCACGAGATCACGAGAAAGATTACAACCGAGGGGCCGCCATAGCCGTTTCGCTCAGACCCGAAGGCCTCGTCCAGCTGCTGCTCGGGGGGATCCCAGGGAATTGGGGGCGTCGTCCAGCCGCCGCTCCGGGGGATCCCAGGGTATCGGAAGCCTCATCCAGCCTCCTTTCCAGGGATCCCGGGGAACCGGCTTCAATGCCAGGGCAGCTTGTTCCAGGCACCTGCCACTCTTTGTGTAAAACCGCTCAGGGGCAGAGACCTCCCTCGGTGCAGGCAGACGCGGGGGGGGGCTGGCGTGTACGCCGGCATGGACAGAGCGCCTCCCCTACAGCAGCGGTGGGGCGCCGCCCACGTCCCTCACTCCCCTGACCACAGGGGCCGACGGCGACTGTTGGCTCCGTCTGTGTGTTATTACCAGAGTCTCGGGGTTTTACCGCTCATGCATATTTCTGCTCTGACCGTGCTATGTTTCCATGCTTTATTACACACCGTCATGCATCACTACCATGTTTACACGCTACCAATCTACTGTAAGAGTTCTAGGCTATTCTGAATTCAAATATCTAATAAATATCTTCTACAGGTAATCACAAAGGCTGACAGGATTCCCAAGTAACGTCAACTCCTTTCACCTCGTCCAGATTTCTCCCAGATCTTGAATGGGCCGATTCCACTCCCTCCTCTCAATCTCGTTTAAAATAAGCCGATCCCCTCTCCCCCCCCCCGGCAGCCCGTCCTTCTCCTCAGGAAGCAATCCCCTCTCCCCAGGTTTTATTCTGGATCGACCGATCCCCTCTGTCTTCTCCCCCAGTCTGTTTTCAGATCAGCCCACCCCCCTCCCCCCCCCCCCCTGTCTACACCCCGCCCCCCCCCCCCCCCCCTTCCCCAGGCCAAAATGAGAACGGACCGACCCCCCCGTCTCCTCCGCAGGGCCAAGGAAAGGACACTGCAGGAGGCCCTCAGGCTCAGTGACCAGAGGATCTCTGGCAGGTCCTGCTTGATCCCGGCCCTCTCCCACGAGGCCTTTCACGGTGAGACAATGGCGCCGCCCTGCCAGCCGCCAGCGATGCCCTCCGAAGGTCACGGGGGTCCCCAGAGAACCCCCTCCACCAAGGCAGCGGGCTTACAAAAATAAAGCGAACCATGAAATAAATACATAAATAAATCTCTGCCTTATAAATACTAAAATACTTAAATACTCTGTCTTAAAATACTCTGTCTCGATACCGCTCTGCTGATGTCAAGTCTTAATTACACTATATTACAACGCAAGTAAAACTAAAAGCACATCTAAGGATCTGCGCCTGTGGCTGGAAAGTTGCCAGTTCGAAATCCCGCGGCCGGCAGAGGAATCCTACTCTGTTGGGCCCCTGAGCGAGGCCCTTCACCCCAACTGCTCCGGGGGCGCCGTATAAATGGCTGACCCTGCGCTCTGACCCCCAGCTTCTCTCCCTGTCTGTGTGTCTCATGGAGAGCAAGCTGGGGTCTGTGAGGAGACACATTCCTAGAGGAACGGCGCTGGGAGACATCAGCAGAGCTGCAGCTTTTTTACAGGAGAGCCCGTGCAGAGCTCCGTGCGTTCAAGCCAACAGCTGCAGGCGTTCTCTAGGCCTTGTCTGCTACCTGCTAACACACAGCTGCACAGGAAGAAATACTTTAAAAGGCAGAGAAGAGAAATCAATACTGTAATGGCTCTAAAAGCCTTTTCCCTTCCAAAATATAACAGGAACATCGCCTTGACTGAACTGAACCGAACCGCTGCTCCTTCAGTGTCCGTGAGAAACTGTTCCAGCGCCGATCCACACAGACAGACCCGGCTCCCACCTGCAGCCGTGCGAGAACTTTAACCCCGTTGCGTCCCCAGCCTCTCTCCCTCCACCTCCAAGACTTGCAGTATACACGCGAACCCTTCGCGATTCTCTCACGTCATCTGCAGAAGCGTGTTTGTCAGGCCCTGCGGTGACGCGCAGCGTCACGCCCTGCTGTGTTGGAGCCGGCTCCCCGCCAGGCTCGGTGTTGTTTCCAGGGCGTGGCCTCGGTCCAGGCTGCCCATTCTGACACAGTGTGGGAAGGTGGTCTGATGGGCAGCGCTCTTGAGAACTGGGGGCAGAGAGTGAGCAGAGGGCAGGAGGGGAGGTTCCTGTGTGGACGAGTTACTTGGCAAATCCTCGTGCTGTACTGTGGCTCATGCTTGCAAAACCAGACCTGTCACAGCTGCAAACCTGCCTACTCTTTCTACGAGACGATTGGGCATGATTAAAAAAAAGGGGCAGAAAAGGCCAATATAGCACAGAGCATGCTCTCTCCTCCTCTCTCCTTCTTCCGTCTCTTCCTCCAGTCTCTCCCCATTCCCTTCCCAGGGGTCTCCAGCCCCCTCCCTCTCCCTCGATTCAGAACACCTGGGACTGGGAAAGAGGAGAAGGTGAGAAGCGAGCCCAGAGCGCAGTTCAAGTTCCAGCCAGCAGGGCGGCGCTGTCCGTCTGTGTTTACTGAACGTGTGTGCGGGTGTGTGCGAAGTGTAAAGCGGAGCGGGACTCAGGGTCTCTAAAAGCCCTCTATGTGGCAGTAGGCCACCAGGCTGGAGAAGAGGATGTAGAGGAACCAGAGGCCGAAGAACAGCAGGGTGGTGAGCAGCTTGGCGACCCGCGGGCCCCCCAGCTCCCCGCCGATGGACGGCCGGCGGCGGAACATCAGCACGCCGATGTTGACGAAGGCGAAGATGGTGAAGAGCGTGACGGAGAAGGCCAGCGAGCCCGGATCCACCCGGAAGGTCTTGCCCTGCACGTTCCAGTAGATGGCGGCCACCGACCACGCCACGCCGATGCCCAGAAAGACGTTGACCGCGTTGCTGCCCGTCACGTTGCCCACCGAGGCGTCTGCGTACTGGTCCTGAGTGGCGGCCACCTTGCTGGCAAAGGTGTCTGAGACGGGGAGGGGCCGAGAGAGCAGAGGGTCACAGGTTAATGCCCAGGGAGAGACACGGAGCGGAAAAGACACTTTAGCGGACATGCAGGATACAAGATTCTGGGTAAACATGATCCCTGAGGAATACTTCATTGGGAATACAGTACGTCCGCAAACTATGAGGAACCCCAGCGAGATGAACAGTCATTCCCTGGGGTGGACTGTGCAGAACTGGCATAAGGAACTCACTTCCTTCATCTACCCCAGCCAGAACAGCCGCCCGTTCCCCATCTTTTCTGAATACCAGAGGCTCCCGTACACCTTTACAAGCCCTGGTCATCTTGGCCGGAGCTGAAGGTGATCCAGAAGGAAGAGTGGGATGGGAGTGGGGTGCAGGGGGTCCTAATATTTTGGCCAGTGGTTGTACACAGCCAGTCATATTAAAACATGGCCCCCCACAGCCCTATAGACCGTGTTTATAGTGTTTTGTGATCAGGGTTTAAATCCCAGCTTTCTGCGGGGTCGTTTCCATCAGTCCCTGCATGTTGCTCAACTACAAGACACAGCTACACGCTAAAGACACAGGGTGCATTTGTGCCAGCTGTGTTCTGGGCTGTGCACTGTCACAGAGGCATCGTGTCTAACACTGCCTTGTGTCTGAGAGCATGTTCACACTGTCTGACTGGCCCGCCAGGATTCCACTACATCCTGTATCCAAGTGTGTTGACACTGTTCCCGCCGGAGAACTGCAAGGTGATACCGGTGGGAATCAGGGGAGATTCCTGCCAGCGCTGTGGTGTATTCATCAATAGGCACAGGCCAACAGGCACATTGAACATCATCGCACAGCGACAAAGACAACTGAATCTAAACTAAAGGTGAGAGTGCTGTTCTCCACTGTGACTCCAAGATGAAAGTGCTCTCGTCCCGAATGAATTCTGGGAAGGAGCAATGCTATGCCGCCTTGCCGAATTTCCTCTGCTACTACTGGAACACGTCCGTAGCAGCAAATATTCCAAATGTGCAGGAATACACCCTCAGCTTTTCAGAGGGTAAGAAGATGTGTTCTGAGGCCTCAAAGCCGTGGTTTGAGAAGTCCTCCGCTCCGCTCACACGCAGTGGAAGTGCGTGTATGTGTGATGAGAGTGGGTGTGCGTGTGTGTCAGGGGAACAGGGGTGCACCAGGGGTGGTGAACCGCGCTCACCAGGGATGGAGGTGCCCAGCGCCACAAAGACCACGGCAGTGACGGTGTCCCGCAGCCCCACGGTGCAGCCGAAGTGCGAGGCCAGGTCCCCGATGACGGCGGTCAGGAGGCCGATGACCGTGATGGACACCAGGAAGCAGGCCCAGCCGTTCCAGTACTCGGTGGGCGGCACGCAGGCGAACAGCACCTTCCAGAAGACCGTCAGGAAGTGCATCACGTAGTCGAAACAGGAGGGCAGGCGCTCCTCGCGGCCCTCGTCATCCTCCTCGTCGCCATCGCCTGGGCAAGGGGCGCAGAGGGGGAGAGGGGCTGAAACACCAGGAGGGGACCCTGTCTCTCCTGGAGTTTCCTCACTCCAGCTGACCCCTTAATCACTCCAGGTGACCCCTTAATCACTCCAGGTGACCCCTTATTCACTCCAGGTGAGCTCTTAATCACCAGGTGAGCTCTTAATCACTCCAGCTGACCCCTTAATCATTCCAGCTGACCTCTTAATCACTCCAGGTGAGCTCTTAATCACTCCAGGTGAGCTCTTAATCACTCCAGGTGAGCTCTTAATCACTCCAGGTGAGCTCTTAATAATTCCAGGTGACCCTTTAATCACTGCAGCTGACCCCTTATTCATTCCATCTGACCTCTTAATCCATCCACCCGTTTTCTAAAGACTTCAAATTCAGGGTCGCAGGGGAGCAGGAGCCAATCCCAGCAAGCAGCAGGCGCTAGGCAGGGTACGCCCTGGATGGGACGCCAGTCCATCACAGGGCACATACATAGACACACAGACACTCACACCACGGCCAGTTTTCCCAAAAGCCAAGTAAAGCCTTAGACTGTGGGAAGACAGCAGAAGACCCAGAGGAAAGAACACACAAACTTCACATAGGACCCAGGGCCCCAGAGGCAGCGGAGAGGAAACGATCTGAACCACTGCGCCACATGCTGCCCTGACCACTTAATCACTGAGGCTAATCGGCCCTGGAATGGATTTGCTTGATTAAACATCTGTCACCTGTGTACGGTGAAGAGAGAACCATGACCCACAGGATAAAGAAGGGGAGCTACGATGAAGGGAAGTTAAAACTAAGAACAAGGGGCCCTTCTACAGAACAAGCTGGAACAAGCTGTCAAAAAAACAAACAGTGGATGTGATCCTTGTGTCTATCTGTTACCAAACACCCACAGTCTAGAGGGGTCGGATGGCCTCCTCTGGTTGTGTTTATGCAGGCAGTGGCTTCAGGGGTGCTGCTGGCAGCGATCAGAGCTCTGTTCTGAGTCTCCCCACCTCGTCCTCATTTCTGTCCAGCAGCTCTGGGAAGGGGAGATCTGAGACCCCAGAATTACTGCAGGTCACTCTAGCTTTTCGTCAGGATAAAATTGGCCTAAAGACATGCAGATCTCAGAAAGTAGTTCTGGTTCAACGAGCTTCAGCGATTAAGAGCACAGCTGGAATGAATGTCGCTGGAGGGAACAGGGCTGAGGAACACTGTAGTCATCTCTCACACTGCGCTGATCCCCTGTGTCCACTAGAGGGAGCTAACACCCTATATCACCATCACCCACAGTCACACTGTCCCCAAGGAGCTTCACATTTTTCAGACAGATCTGTCCGCGCAGACACGGTCTCCACAGGCCATGTCTCACGACACCCGGTGAGCTCAGCAAGGGTCAGTGCACATCACCTGCTATCGTTCTCAAAGGCTTGGGCCATCAGAGGTGTCTTGGTGTGTCTTGTCGAAGGTTGGTCTTACAATCGTTTGGGAGAAATCCTGCTGTCTTTAAACTGAGCTCCCGGGCTACAGACAGACAGGCAATGCCTCAGTCTCAGTCTGTGGGACTCTTCCATTCCTGGTAAGAGTTGGGAATGTTTACAACTCTAGCCTTTCTCCTAGAGACCCGACGATTACTATACAGGGTAGGGGGCCACTCCAGGCTCTAGAGAACCCCAATCCAGGGTCCTCATAGGTCTCCCTACAGCACCTGTTTCTAAGGACTGGGAACACATGGCCTGGGAAGTTGCTTTGATCCAGTTCCAGGTTCCAGTCCACGTTTTGGCTCACCTCCCTGGGGGGAAAACCTGACACCTGGGGTCAAGGGGAGTGCGGCCCCTCACCTGCGCTGACGGTCACGGCCTCGATGAACTGCTCCCTCCACGAGTGGGTCCCGATCACCAGCGCCAGGTTGGTCTTCTTGATCAGCTTGTCCACCGTGCTCTGCCAATCAGAGGAGCGACGGGCAGGTGAGCGGCCAATCACAGGGCAGGGGTTCAGAAAAAACATCACTAACAGGCCTGTCCCGTATATATACTGGCAGCGTCCGAGAACTCTGGCTCATCGGGAAGAAGTGTGGTCTCAGGTTTAAGATATATTGTGTTTAGAAATTCCAAAGTCTTGTTCAGTTCTGTAGCTGAGTCATCGGCTCGATGAAGTTGTGGGAGGAGATAAATACTTGCTAAATATATTCTGAAAGTATTACTTGCTGTAACAAACTGGAATTGTTATCGTTTCAGAGATTGATGACGTTAACCTTTCAGTTGGGACTCCAGCAGGAGGTTTTTGAGAGTTATTGGGAGAGGAGGATTATCTTATAACCTAATGATGATGATTTTATGTTTCTTTTCTTCACCCTCCTTCCTCCCCAGCACACTACCCTCTGAAAACATGCAAAAGATGATAAAGAACAGACTTCACACTCATTTCTATTGGAAACACTTGAGGTTTTGAGATGACTGGCAGCTTTATTTTGTTGTGGTTGGCCCCGATTACCTTTGTATGTTCATAAAAAAGAAACAATAAAAAACACAAGTTACGCCAAGAGGCCTGTAAGGTCAGCCTGAGCTCGAGTCTTCGGTGTCGGGGTGCGGACACGTGCTCTTTGAAGTAAGCGCTCGGTATTCTGAGCCAGACAGGCAGAAGATACTCTGACACTAAGCGCCAGAGGAGGGAGGGAAGAAGTGAAGAGCACTCCTTCAGGTGTGTACCCACGATTGAAAACATAAGTGCTATAACCTCCTCCATCGAACAAAAGTGAAATGACAGAAGAACAGTCTCACACACACGAAGCAGCACCACACGCATTCACAGTGTTCTGTAGAGCTACCTGGCCTTTTCAAACGCCCGTGTTGAAAAATGTAGGCGGGAGGGTGTTGGAATTTGGCTCAGCTGGACTGCGGGGTGCATACCAGGGGGTGTCCTGTGCTCCCTGGGGCCCAGGGTCTGAAGAGGCCAACTAACTCTCTGAGCACCTGCAAGCATTCAGCAGCTTCAAGCCAGTTCAAAACCCAGAGCAACAACACACAGGGTCACTCTCATGGGACTGTCCCATGGCAACATGAGTCAGTGAAAGACGTTCAAAGAAGTCCGAAACCAGGAGGCGAAAAGCAGATCCCAATCACATCCCGGAGGAGGGAACCAGAGTTTCATGGGATGAGCTTATAGCCGCGTCTGCTAGGAAGAGCATAGCGCTTTCCAATTGCATGTCTTCTTCGATTCCACTAGATTCAATGTAGCATCCACTCTCAGACGGCCCGGCCCCAGCTGGATATGATAGATAAGGGCGTGTCCAATGTGAGAGGGAGGGACCTCAGCCCTGTCCTATCAGAAAGAGAGCTACACACAGTGTTTCAAAGCTCAGACCAATCAGAAAGCATTCCAGACAGAGGCCTTTAAAAAAAAAGTGTTTAAAGGCAATGTCTAAAAACTTCTGTCCAATCCAAAGCACTTTCCAAACAAAGACTGGTTCAACCAGAGAGTGTGTCTCGTGCGCAGTGGGCGTGACCTACCGGATTGAGCAGCCCATTGGGTGTCATTCCTTCACGGATCTGACAAGCAGTGGGGAGTAGGGAGGAGCGCACAGCAGACAATATTAG